ATGCCTTCGCTGGATTTTGGCGAGACACACCCCAAGCCCCACGCTCGGGGTTTCGCTGACTAGTTCCAGTGCCTCGCCTCTGGGCGTTGACCTGAGAAAACTTGTGCACAGCGCTAAGCTGCTATAGCAAACCAAAAAAGCCGCGAGGGTGTGGGGAACCAATCTCTTAGGAGCCGGTCCGCAGGTGAGCTTTGAATCAACATGTGTGTGTGTGTGTGTGGACATGTGTGCCCGGCGTCCACGTACAGTTGAGCATGCACTATTGTGTTTGTGGGAGGGAAATGGCTTCTTCCCGGTCGAGGGTGGTAGTAGAGTTTGTTGTGACGCGCAGAGCAGGCCGACAGTAGTGCTGGAGGTTCAGAAACCCTGAGCGCCTGGGAATGAGCGCAGAGGATACAACACAGCAGTAGACATTTGGTGCCCTGCCGCTCTGGCTGAATCTCTCTGCATGGATGGCTTTACAAGCAGACAGATGAGCGATGCAAAATCCAACGATATGTCAGGTTTTCATGGTGCAGTATAGTGCTCATCGAGTCAATGTTCACTTGAGAAACTTGTGACACCACAGGTCGCATGATATAGCCCAGAAGGCCAGCCAATATGCAGTCTAAACCCAAAGCGCGGAACTGAAGAGTCAAGGAGCACTTAACCGCCGGGTGCTCTTTCCTCGGACCCCTGGCACCGCAATGAGCAAGGCATTGCAGAGCTCTTCTGCTGGTTTCTTTTGTCAGAGATTTAGGTGATGGGGACTTTCGCTTTCGGGGTTCAAGATTGAGGGTGGTGCCTAAAGACCCGTGAGATTCTGCAGCTGTTCGTACACTTCTGGCGAGCATGATCGTCGTTCGTGCGTTGCCGATAATGGCATATCAGCAAGCACCTGGTCTTCAAAGCATTGTTGCTGCTATTGAACTGCTTCTCGAGCGTGAATGAGCGTGAGACCTGATGAGACCGGTCAAGGAGGACACCGCCTACGTAACAGAGCAGGGCAGAAGGGTAACCTGCCCCCGAACGAGCAAAGCCAGTTTCAAGCTCCGTCTGTAGCTCTGAAATGCTTCAAACCCAATGCCAAGATTGATGACATTCGTTTCGGCCCCCAGGCTGAGGGGTTTTCCATACCAAACGCCCCTTGGACATCCGCAGGTGCCAGCTGTGCCGAAGGCATGTCGGGCCTGTGGTTTGGATTGGTCAGTGCTCAGGAATTTGTGGTCAGGGCTAGGGCTAGGACAGGTTCTCTCTATGGCCATGGCAAAACCTGAAATGCCCGAAGGCCAGTGATGCCAAATCTACCGAACTTACCGAAGCATGTGACCGTTTGACCCTGCTGCCGAACACCTGAAGAACAAGAATGCCGGGCAAAGTATCCCACTTCCACACACAAGAAGGTCCACAGCTTCTGCGATTCGGCTGTGTCAACGAGATGTAGAATGCTCCCCAGGTGGAAGCCTCTGAAGCCGCCATCCAGCTGGAGCCAGGAACCCGGTTTCGTTTTGGCGCAAGAAGCCGTCTAGCGCAAGGGAGGTGCATGGAACCTCATGTCAATGCAGACTGAAGTGTTTTGTCAGCTGAAAGCCCTTGAGCCTTGCAGGTCCTCCTTATCGCCGCAGCTGTCACAGCTCTTGGCCAACTCAGGAGGCCCTGCCTGAGTTAGATTGCGATCCGCGAGAGGTCAGGCTGCGCGACGCAGAACTAAGAGCAAATTCAGCGATTGCAGCAAGTTAAGGCACCAGTGGCAGGAGCAGAAGTGGGATGAGGGGCAGCAGTGGTGGTGATGTTGGTGGTTCTGGCGGCAGCACCACCTGAAAAGGATGGTCGTACGACCGGCGCAATTATCGTTATCAGCACCATCACCATCGAGAACAGCAATACTAGCCCTAGACGTCACCGTCGCCAGCGGCCGTCACCACTTCGTATGTCAGAGCTCGACGCAGACGTTTTGCCTCACTTTTTTCGAAGCAAAACGTTGTGACGCCCCAGCGAAGGTGCTTTGAAATTTCAGCTCCAGTCCACAGGCTCGGTGATTCGAAGTCATCGCTAGTTTGGATCCTTGGGGCACAGCCTGGGATCGCCTGGGATAAATGTTCACAGCTGAGGGCTCGTCTCCTCTGCACTCAGTTGGGCCCGACCAAGACTCCCGAAGTTGCTGGGTTTTCGTAAGCCAAGAAGATGCTGTGCCCTTGAGAAATTCCGTCGACGCAGGCGCAGGAGGACAGGGCCCTCGTGCAGGCAAAGCTAGCCAAAACACGCCTAGGAAGGTTTGGGCTTCCATTGTTCAGTGTTCCCTTTTCTGACTGAGTTTGGGGTATATACCGGGGCTCAAGCGATTCAGGTCTCGATGTGGCTTAATCACAGTCCTGCGGTGTAGTGGCTTTAGGGCTTCATTCTGCAGTCCTGATACAGGGGTAAAAACGACATGTCGTTTGCCGGGAACACTGAAAGCCACAGATTCTCAACGCACCTTGTCCCACAACTAGCAAGCCCTCAACCCAACGAGACTCGCCTTCAATGGTCCCACTGCTCCCGGATGCCGAGCTCAAACAAAGAAAGTCAGATAATATAGCGCCAAGCCTTGCAAAGCAGCTCTTGAGAGAAGAACCTGCAGAGTGCAGGTCACGACTCTGATCGGCTCGTGTCGTGCGCCAACAATTTTCAGTCAAAACTGAGGTTTAGTGCTTGTTTCCGGGCTCAGGATTCGGCTTGGGGTTGTGATGCGCTCATCTTGCACAAGGTACGTGCGTCCCGTGTCAGCAGCTCCGCAGTCACTCAGAGGCGTCGAGCGGGGCTTCCGGATTTCCGATCGGGGTTCGAGGCTCATTAGGAGCCTGTTCGGGTGTCGTCTGAAAGACCCTGTCACTGCGGTGCGATGTGTGCAAGGCTCCCCGCGCTCGCGCTCGGGGCAAGTTGTAAAGGCAAGGCGCCGCTCCGATGTCTGCGAGCTTTGCAATGGCCGAGTCAGAGCAAGAGTCCATGTCTTGAAATCTTGAGACTCTAGACGATACTCTTCCTTCCTTCTTGCTAATGTCATGAGATCTCCTCGGCAGAGCCCACTTGGGAGGTCGACGAGCATGCGGAGCGGACCGAAGCGACCTCGCGAGGCGGGACTCGGTGCGTTTGAACAGCCATGCTGTTTTGCTTCACTTGAAACTTCTCGGCTTGAAGCAGGCTCCAATGAGTCCGATTGCTCCTCATCGCTGCACGAGGAGTGCTTCGAGCCTCCCACCTAAAGTCTCCACGCTTGAAAACTCCGCGAAGGGTAGACAGGTACACTCTCTGCACATCACCGTGAAACTGCATTTCTTCAGCTATGTTCCGGGCATGTGTTCGATATGTTCTGAGCCATGAGGGCTGTCAGGTTCCCAGGGACCAGTGTGGCTCACGTGCCATGAGGCATACTTTTCTTGTAGGAAGCCTCTGAGACTTGTGATGAGAGCCATCATGTTGATCGCGTTGATCACGTCGACCCTAGCACGTGTTTTTCTGCGCGTCGGAGGATTGCCTCCCCGAGCCCGAGCTGGATTTCGACGACGAAATTATTGAGCGAGCAGCCCCAGATCTCTGAGAGGGTGACCTGTTCTTCCGCGCTTCTCTTCTGCAGGCATGTGGCAGTCTATTGGCTTGAAGCGTTTCTCGAAGTTGAGGTTTCCGTTGAGATTGTTACCCTAACGGAGCCCTGCAGTCGGGTAGCTGGCAGTATCGATATCGAAGCACCCATTCGTGTTGCAGGCCTCCCTAATTATTACAGTTTCGTGTTTGGTATGTCCCCTGCGAGCAAATTGCTAGGGAAACTGCGGAGGACCTCTCCCACATCCTTGACTTCTCTCCACAGTCTTGAGGAGGTTGGAAGCCACGAGCTTGACAAGTCCACCGACATTTGCAAACCGAGGTACGTGCTGCTGCCAACCAAGGCCCCGCAAACAAAGATCGTCCTCGGAGCCTCGCACTTCTAGTGCTGTCGCTGGTACCGCCCACCGAATCCTGCTACATATTGACTCTGTCGTACTCTGTCGCTCCAGATGCTCTCCGCATTGTTGGCCGCTGGTGATCTCCGGAATGTCAAGGGCGTGTCCTCTTAACGGTTGACACGCAGTCCTCTGTCGCTGTGTCCTGTGTCCGCTTCTCCTTCGGTTTTGAGCCGAAACTAGAAGAAGATAAGGCTTTGACGTGGTGCTCTTATGTCATCCGGCAGCTGATCGAACCTGATCGAACGGGGTCAGTCGCAAGAGCGTGGCACTCGCCTCTCTTGCAGTCATGCACTCCTCCTCCTCCACCTCCTCCTTACATCCTCCATCCTCCTCGCCGCCACAGTGGTCAGTGTTATGATTTTCAACATGAATAGGGTCATGATGGAGAAAGTCCACCATGATTGACACGACGTCATCATGATCATCGTGATCATGATCATGACCATCATCATCATGATCATCACCATCATCATCATCACTATCATCATCATCATCATCATCATCATCATCTTTTGAGCCACCATCACTACCATCAACAACATCATCATCATCATCATCACCAGCACCAACATCACCATCATCACCATCACCATCATCATCAGCATCAGCATCATCACCATCATCACCACCATCATCATCATCATCATCATCATCGTCAACAACATCATCATCATCAGCGTCATCATCATCATCATCATCATCATCTTCAGGGTCGTCACCATCCCGTGTAGACAACCAGAACCGTCAGCCGCACTGGCACTAGCAAAGCCAGAATAAGCACAAAGCCTAGAAGTATCTTGACCACCACCACCACCACCGCCACCACCGCCACCACCACCCAGAGCCGGCGGCGGTAGCAGCAGCAGCAACAACAACAGCAGTCACAGTGACAGTGGCAGTGAAGCAACACGTCTGAACACGCAATGTTAACATGTCTGAATGCCCCTCGGAAGAAACCCCAGCGCCATTCAGTTCGAGCGCGGTGTCATCTGGCTGGATGGTGTGTCGGGTGCCTGAGCCGTATGGGGTCAAAGGCACCAAATCTTTCAACCAACGGGCAGAAGCCTCATACCTGAAACAAATGCTCCTGGACTCCAGACCCACCAGCCTCGATTTAATTTCGGGGTTTGGGCTCATTCGGGGTTTCGCGCGCTTTCGGCCCAAAGTCGTCGCAGGAGCTCAAGAAGACGTAGTTTGGTGTTTCGTATATGGGACCCAGCGCCACTACTCTTCTCACGAAACTTGAGACAGTCTTTCCAACTATGAACCCAACCCCGAGATCCTGTCTTAAACTCCGGCTTAACTCAACCCTGAACGCATGCCTTCCTGGGTCCCCGAAGTGACAGAGGTCGAAGCAGCACGAGCGCATGGACGGCGGCCGAGACGTTCGGGGTGAAGCATTGCCATGACGACGATGATGTTGATAATGCAGCAAGGTTCACATACTTTGTAGACTTCGGGATCCAGGATGCGGCAATGGGGCATTCCGGAGGTTTAGTTTGCTTTGCTCATCCAGCAAGACGAGAACTTTGGAAGGATAGTACGATGAGACTTGACAGGTGGGGTACGAACTACACTACGACAGCGAGTGCAGGCAGACGGCAAAGAACGACGATACCGAATTGTTTGAACCAGAAGGGCTGAGATCAAAAAGACGTCGACGACATCAGTTTCCGTCTCGATCATTCAACATGAGGCCAAGCGTGGTGCACAGACGCCATGACTAAGAAGAACCACGACTTGTGATCTGTGATTGGTTATGGCAAGAGTTAGAACTAACAGTTGATGGCGGCTTCCATAGTCAAATTCCCATCCCCAGAGCTATCGCCATGGCCTTCACCATCATCATCACCACCACCACCATCATCATCATCATCATCATCATCCTCAGCATCATCACCATCATCATCACCATCATCATTATTATCATCATCATGATAATCGGCAGCGTCATGACCACCTCCGAGACCTGGGGCCCCACCGCCCTGTCGACGCTGAAGGCGTCGGTGCAGGATTTCCGTTGCGAGTTAAGGCTTCGGCTCATGTCAGATCACGCTTATGAGACCGTCGAGACCCTTGTGTTTGTTTTTTTGGAGGGTGTTCTTTGATATCGCTGGCTTCTGGGCAGACCTCCTTGCCAGTCGGCATCCATGGATGGTGGTGGGTTCATGTGCTGCGGTTTCGAGCAAGATTAGATTTCTTGAGGTTCAACGCTGTCGTACCTTGTCCGAAACGAGCGCCAGCTTCGGCAGTGCTACGACTGCGACTACTGAATACGGCTTTCTGAGATGCCTTGGGGTAGAGCAGCTCCATGGGAGCCCAAGGGCCCACTGCAAGCAGGTTCCCCTGATGACAGGTGCCGGAGGTGGGCGGTCATTTCTCCCATTGCAGTTTGGAAATTCAGAGTTTTGGATGCATGCCGAGGCGCAGCACCTCTTCGGTTTCGGATCTCTCCAAGACCTGACAGTTGAGACTATATTGTAACGCCATGCTGCCTCATATCTTTCATCTTCTCATGATTCCGTATGCAAATCCTATGTGGGCGCTGCAAGCTTAACCAAACTGGCATATCTTGTCCAAGCTCAACTGTTGGAGGTGCAGGGCGCAGTGGTTCTGTGGCTTCGTCGGTGCCCTTGGTGGAAGTTGGGAGCCTTACCAGAGCCTTCAAGCTTGACCACCGGCAGGGTAGTGTCGCAATTTCAACCAGACGAACACTGTCGCCACTCGTTGAAGGAGTATACATATCAATAGCACCTGTAGCGACAATTGTAGACTGCAGACTCCAACACAGAAGAAGGCAACACGCAGCAATACTTATGCTGCTGCAGCAGTGTGACACACTGTAGCACAAGTCGTCATCAGCATCGTAACGTCGTCGTCGTCGTCGTCGCCCCCGCCGCCGTCGTCGTGGCGAGGTCGGAGCACACAGAAAGCAGTTCGTGGTTTGGCACAGCTTGAGCCTTTTCCAGGCGCGCGTGGTGGATCCAAACCTGCCCGAAGTTGCCTTGCAAGAGGCGCGGTCTCTGCTGTTCCGAGGATCCACAGTATTGCTGCGGTTGCTCCTGTCGCTAACGCTGTCGCCACCTCTGGAGCTGCTGCTTCTGCCGCTTTTTCAGACTTTTGCCAATTCTGCCCTTGGGTGGTACTGGCCGAGCTGTCGCGATGGTTTCCTGTTTCAATGGGGGTCATGGAGGAGTTGCAAAGCGCCAGGGCAGAGGCCCCGATTCTCGAGCCGTCCGAGAGCGCATTCTGCCGGGCACACGGGCAGAACCGAGCCAGGGCCTCAGCCTCGGGTCGCAGTTCAGCAGCTGCAGGGCCCAGGGCTTGGGCTTTCCGTGGTCGAGCCGGGGTCGAACTTTGTTTCAGGGCTTCTTGACAGCCGGCATTATGACCATGCAGTGACAGTTTGTGGCGAGGGCTAGGACTGCCATGCTTCCGGGTCAGGGTTCCTCTTCCACATGGTCTATTTTGCGCGGAGCGCCTGCGATGGGAGTTAGCTTCAAACAATGCAACCTTATATACCCATTTGGTGCGCAGCGTTCTCGAAAGTTGTTTAAGGATCCAAGCTAAAGAAATTCTAAGCCTTTACATCCTGACTTCAGTTTGAAGCGGAAAGCTGGGTGTCTCGGGCTAGCTAGCTGACCACGCTGAGCCTTGAAAGTGCCGCCACCATGGTGGGGCAAAGATGGCTTACATAGAATTCCCTTTCGAACCCTTCAAGGACCCGAGATTCTCCAGTTCAGGGGCAGTTTAGGCCGAAGTCCGGGCTTCTCGGGCCTGAAGTTCCTGCTGTGTGGAGGCGAGGCAACGCCGCGCACCCCCCGCGCCCGCGCACGGCAAAGTGGGCCACGAGCCCAGATGTCGGCAAGGCAACACACAGTGTGGATCCCACATTCCGCCCCTAGTGTGTCTGTTGAAAAGCAGGGATGATGCTTGGCTGCACACCCCCGAGACCTTCAGCATGGAAGTAGCTCGATGGGCTTCTCGGATTCAAGCATGGCATGTTGGATGCCAGTTTGCCCGATGATGGCTGCAGTGTGATTGCCGACTGTTGAGCATGCTTTACCGATATGTTCATGCGCAAGCCTTGTAAGGCTGCAGGGTCAGTGTGGCTGTAAGTCCGATGCAGCAAGCTCGTAGCGCTGTATCAAACCACGCAGTTTCATCAAGGTAGACGTTGATGCCCTGCCTTTGCCAACTCCAAATTACAATGAACACCACCAGTAGCCGCTCCAAAGCCCTAACTCGAGAACCCCTCCACGACAGAACCCGAAGCCCGGCTTCGTAGAGTATCGACTCTGCCGCAAGAGCTGTTGTTCTTTCTTCGCGCCATGTTCGTGCCCCGGAAGATCATGGAAGCCGGAGTCTAGTCGGTCGGAATGTTAGAAGTGCTGTCGGGGCCCGGGGGTTGAGGAATTCGGCATACGCAGACATGGAAGGTGTCACCCGCTCGCTGCGAATCTTTAGATTAGATGTTGGTCTCCTGCTTATGGGCATATTCTGCGACCCTTCTTTGCGTCCGAGTTGAAGAGGTGAAGATAAGACGCAAGCTTCGATGCTATTCAACCTGATAGCTTTCCCATTTCCCGTCGAGCACTGCGATGTTGGAGTTCTACCAGTCTTGTGTTCGGGTGTAGGCTCAATTCTCAGAGCTTATTTCGGAACTCAAGATTGTTCTATAATCTTCTGAGCCGGTGGTTGTTTTTTGGCATGATCCGTTGAAAGCCCCAAAGCACGTATGTAGTTCTTGCCTTGTTAGTCTTCCGCTGATCCTGGCCGCAAGCTCCGTCCCCAAACTGAAGTCGAACAAGCACAGTATCCGCTTGGGACTGCAGAAGTTCCAGCACCATTGTTGCAGGTTTGGGGGTTTGGCCATGTTGGAGCCTGGCAAGTGAGCCTTTAACAAGAATACCCTAACATGGCGAACGGAAAAGCTCAACAGCTAGCCTCTGTGCCCCGACACACGAAGGAGAAACCTGAAGACTAGCCTTACATCTCAAGAAGGTCCTAGGCCCTGAAAGGCAAAGGCACTAGCAAACAGCAGAGGTGCCTACCAGCTACTCATTGGGCCTGGTGATGGCTCTCGGGGCCCTGATTTGCTGGGGCAGCTGGAGCGTCACCCTGGTCCTGGCCTCCAAGGCACTCCAGGGACGAAGCTGTCGGGGCTCTGGCTTTCGAGAAGCGAGAGTTTCTGGCATCTGGATGGGGTGGCCCGCATTGATGTTCCGAGAGCACTGAACGGTTGGACTCGCTCCTGGCAGTTGCTGATGGTGTCAGAATTCCATTCGAAAAGTGCTCACAGCAGCCCCAGGTCTTCAGTCTTGCTACTTTACCCAGCCCGTGAATCCCCTGACAGGTCATGGCCTTCCAGCCCCTCGCCAACTCCCCTGAGCTTCAGTGAGAGGCCCCAAAGGTTCAGGATTAGATGGAAGAAAGGGCCGGAATGCCCACTTCGAGATCGTTGCTTTGTCTCCTTCGCTCTCTGCACACCCCCAGAAACCTTGGCTCCCGAAAACCCTAAGGCCCGCTGGCGGCACTGAATCTTGAGGCTGTACTACGTCAACTTCACGCTGTCCTTTCTAATCACTGGCTTCGTTGTCGGCTTCATTGGGGGCACTTTTGGATCCGGTGGAGAGCGCTACGAATCTCGGCGCTAGCTTAGAAATCGCATAGCTTTCCAAGGTTTGAGGGCCGTCGCCTTTGCTGGCTGCGGGCTTTTGGATGCTGGGTTTACAGGCTTCGGGCTCTAATGCGCTGAGCTAATTTTGAACACTTAGCGTCGTCCGCCTCAGCCCGGTGGTACTTGAAGCAGGTGCATCGTTTCGGAAAGCAACGGGTAGGTCACACAGGTGAGGTACAAAACACAGCCCCCACAGCCCCAGAATTCCAAGCATTACGCATCAAGTTAGAAGGCAAGGCGTGAAGGAAGGAGGGGGGCGGGTGAGGTTGAGGGCGGAGTCGTTTGTGGGCACCCAATCTGGAGGGGGGAAATCCAATTAATTGAAAATTGTGGGGGGGGGGGGGGGGGTGGCTCACTGGGGCGGCAAACAGGGAGCCTCTGTGTGGGAACTTCTGACCGCGAATTAAGCCCTGAGAGCACCCAGAGGGCTGCTGCGGGAACCCTCGTAGATCTGTAAGGTTGCAGGACTTGAGATTTGGGGTGTCGAGCTTGACCAGGGTTTCTTGTTGACAGGAACTCAGGGTCCGGCGGAACTGAGTTTGTGGAACTTGGCCTCATGACTCCAGATGACGGATGTTTGTCCGCGTCCTCCGTCCCTGGGGCTGATGCTGACAAGGCAGCTGAGGCTCCGGAGGTCCGGACGGGATGGCAGGATGGCCGCGTGGTTTCCATTTCCACAATCTCCGGACCCAGCGAAACAATGAAGTCCCACATGGTTTCGCGCACGAGATTGACTTCAGGATAATGGTGCAGCATCCCCTGTGGTTTTTGCGCCCTCCTCTCGCTGAAAGCAGTTCTGTTGCTTGCAACATGTCCGAGAGACGGCTACGTAATGTACAAGTCGTGCGCTCGGGCTCGGATATCTGCTGTGTGTTATGGTTGTCACATCAGATGTCGGTCGTTTGCAACACATGTACCGCGTAAGGACACATCGGCTGCGAGTCGCTTTTCCAACCGACCACAAAGTGTTGTCAATCGTTGGATGGACTTCCGAAGTATCGATGCTGGGTCGCGAAACGCGGAGCCATCTTGCGGCCTTGCAGCCCAAATCCATAACTCTGCCTTTAGTGGGCTCCAGTCCTTACGGCTCTGCCGCCCCTCCCGTCATCCGCCAGCGACGGGGTATGCTACCATTCTGCCTTGCACTTGCTGCCCATCGTCTTGTCATAGCCATTTGAGAGCACTGCTCTGCTGGAGCATTCCACCGATACGGACAGCAGCCCAGGATGTATTGTGTTAGTTTTTCATGTTTACTGCTGCAAGTACACCTGCCTGCATCGACTTCATCTACAGACTGTAGATCATCCAAGCAGAATTCGAAAACTTTTACCTGCTTATGCTGCTCAGAAAATTGCTTGTTAGGCTTTGGGTCTGGGACGTTGCTCCGCACTAGGCAGATAATGATAAGGGTTCCAATTCCCTTGAGCAAGTTCTGAAAGAGTTTTGGTTCGGCCACGCCCCCCATCTACTTTGCGGTCTAAGTTCGAAAGGTTGGCTGTGTCGCAAGCATCAGCATTTTCATCGTGTGTTGCGAGGCTTTGGGTTTCCAGCGTTTTGTGCAGGGCTCAGAAAGCGATTGACATTTCCAACAAGTAAGTGCAAACACTTGTGCGTCCCCACCCCAGAAGTAGAAGTAGACATAGAAGTAGAAGTGGCAATAGCAGCAGCAACACCAGTAGTAAGAAGTAGTAGTGGTAGGGGTGGTGGTAGTAGTAGTAGTAGTAGTAGTAGTAGTAGTAGTAGCAGTAGTAGTAGTAGTAGTAGTAGTAGTAGCAGCAGTAGTAGTAGTCGCAGTAGTAGTAGTAGTAGTCGTCGTCGTCGTCGTCGTAGTAGTAGTAGTAGTAGTCGTAGTAGTCGTCGTAGTAGTGGTAGTGGTGGTAGCAGTAGAAGTAGCCTTTGCCTTCCTGGGGCGACGTCCGTCGCCGAGCATGTTGATCAATAGCATGTTGATCGAGTCTTGCCAAAATGATCCGCATCTGTGCGGATGCACCGTTCTCAAACGCACTAGACCATGGACGTCATTAGGTCTCAAAGGCACCCGACGATGGACGTCATTAGGTTTTGGGCATGGATGATTTGCTCTCAAACACACTAGACCATGGACGACATTATGTTTTGGGCATGCATGCTCTGTTCTCAAACGCACTAGACCATGGACGTCATTAGGTTTCCGGCATGGATTCTCTGTTTTGCAACACGCTAGACCATGGACGTCATCAGGTGTTGGGCATGGATGCTCTGTTCTCAAGTGCACCAATCTGGACCACGGACCTCTAGACCATGGACGTAATTAGGGTTTGGGCATGGATGCTCTGTTAAAACACACTAGACCATGGACGTCATTAGGTTTTGGGCATGCGTGCTCTGTTCTAAAAGTGCTTTGGATGAACATCAAGACCACCAAAATTAAGCAAAATAATCCCGTTGAAAATCCCCGACAGCGGAAGGGCTATCGTTGGCACCAACAAAGCTGACAGAGCTGTAGATGGGTTGTCCATGCCCGGCCGGGCATTGAAACAAGAATTGCTGCAACCAAGGCAGAATGCGTTTAACAGGCCTCGGAGAATGTATTTGGGTTGCGCAAAGCTCCGAGAGCTGGATCTGAGAAGCGTATGGGTTGTTGCTGAATCCGGACAACTCAAAGCATGTCCGGGTGTGGGGACGGCATTGACCGGCAGTTTGCGATTAGCAGGCCTTGGATATTCGGGTGTAGGGGCAGCATTGAGCTCAAGATCTGTTGACACAAGGGCTGCGTTTAGCAGGCCTTGGACAATGCATTTCGGTTTGGTCGGCGGCTTCGTGAGCTCGATTTGGGTTCCGGGACTGGGTTAGGAACACCAGCAAAGCTGAAACAGAACTAAATGCGTTTTCCAAGCCCTGAAAAATGCATGTTTGGACCCTGCCAAACTGCAGCATGTGCCACCCGATTTTCGTGTTTTCGAAATAGGGGTCTTCGGACCGGAAGGCCTTATATTTTGGAGCTACGTGTATCATCGAGGTTCGCAGTGCACTGGGGAGCGGGCCCCGTCATAATTCCGCCTCCCCAGAGCGAGTTCCTCTTCCGCGTCTGGAAGAAGAAGACGACAAAGTAGTAGTAGCAGTAGTAGCCGTCGTAGCAATAATTCGCAGGGGGGGGTAGTCGTCCTCAGCATCGTGGTCGTTGTA